TGCTGTTTCCTGGTTCTGTTCTTGTGGGGGTGAGGTTGCCTTCTCTTCTACAACTTCAGTTAGAACCATTTCAGAAACATGTGAGGTTTCCGGAAGTGTTTGGAAATCTTCAGCTGCTGCTTCCAAAACACCTTGTGCTTCAGAAGTGAAAACCACTTGATCTTCTGTGTCTTTTGAGAAGACTGACTTGAAGACTGCAAGATCTTCATCATCTGCTTCAGAGTCAGAAACTGGTGTGTTGGCCAGGTATTCCAGATGCAAGTCTTCAGGATTCCTTTGCCATACCCAGTAGTCATCCAAAATTTGTTCACAGTTGTGGTTGACTGGTATTCCTAAGCACTTTTTGATGATCTTCTTATTCTTCAGTTGTTGGTCCCAATTCAACAGTTGCTCTACTGAATTTCCAACTTTCCAGGCTTTCCAACCATAGTAGAGCTGCCAGAATTAGTTCTCAGCATCATCTATTTGAGGTTGAGGTGATGAGGTTGGAAGGCTTTGGACTTGAGGAATTTCTTCTTCAAGTTGTTGAGGGCTCCGGTTTTGAGCAGAGGTTTCCTCAGCAGCTTCCTTCTCCTTCAACTCATCCGGATTGACATTTCTAGATGTTGATGGAGAGTTGATCTTCCACTTCTTCTTCCTTTGAAGTTCTCCTTGGTCAGAGGATTCTTCTTCTTCTTCAAGATTTATTGGAGCAAGATTCTGTGGTGCTTCAGCACTTGGAAAGGAAGACACCACATGCTTTCTCTTGGCAGTCTTTGCAAGATTGATGAGTGGAACATTGTCTGATGAGCTTTCTTCTGCAGTGGCACTAGCACTAGCTCTGTTTTCTCCTTTGGAGGATAAGTAGTATAGCCAGTATCTGGCTTCATACTTTTTCCATTTAACTGCAGCGCCCATAGATTCCAAAATATGTCCAACATACAGACCTTGACAGAGATACTTCTGATTGTGCTTTCCTAGATGTTTTGAAATGGATTTGAAAAAGTGTGCAGCCCAGTTTACCTTAGTTTTGGTAATGAGAGAGTTGATGATGAAGGCTCTCTCCTGGGTGATGTCATCGGCATGACCTCCACTTCCA